GCTCCTCATTGTGGGAATTGTGGGTAAGAAAGAGTTTTATTTATAGACCTGAGCTCCAGGGGGGGAGCGCCGTGTGGCTTTTTAGTTCAGATCAATATGTTTTCATTTCATCTCTCTGTAGGAATTTTCTCTTTCTTCTTCTTCTCCGGGAGAATCAAAGCTGCGGAGAACGCTGCACCAGCTCTCAACTATTACTGGGTACCAAGTCTGGTAAGAGCAGAATATATACCCCTTTGTTGCCTTACCATCTGGACTTTAAATGGATTAATATTTTACTGAGAGTTGTTTTGACTTTTTGTGATTTCCTCCTCTCAGACGGTGGTAGTGGGCTCCTACCTGATTGCCCACGGCTTCTTCAGCGTGTACGCCATGTGCGTGGACACCCTGTTCCTGTGTTTCTGTGAGTCATTTTTACATTTGCTTTAACCGGATCTCCTCCAACTGTCTGAAGCTGAGCTGCTGGTTTCCTCTGCTTCCTGCCTGAGGTGTTGACATTTCTTCTCTTTGTCTCTTTTTTCCATTAATTTCCTTTTATCTCCATGCATTACTTTGCTTTTCCCCCATTGTTTCCCATTAACCCAATCAATAAAAAAACAAACTTGCACACACCGGACTAAAGGCGAGGACTTGGAAAGGAACGATGGCTCATCCGAGAGGCCTTACTTCATGTCTCCCGAGCTGCACGAGATCCTGTCCAAATCAGCCAAAGTGGAGGACATATGCGACGGCGCCGAGGCGGCGGACGCTTCGAAACAGGAGGGTGAGGTGAGGTTGGAGGAGGAAACGCCTCTTCAGCAGAAGGACGGAGAGGTCCAGCTGAAACAGGAGACTGTGCTCAAGCAGGACAATGAGGAGAAACAGCCACTACAGTCCAAGACGGATGAGGAAGAGCCGAACGAGGAGAGGAACGAGGAGCAGAAAGTCAGTCAGGGAGACGAGACGGAGAAGAAGGAAGAGTCAGACATGAACGAGGTGTCAGGGAAGCAGAAAACTGAAGAAAAAGTAGAGGATGTATCAGCTGCAGCCGGGGAGGCTGAGAAAGAGAAGACAGAGGAAAAGAAAGAAGAAAAACTAGAGTCTAAGGATGAGGACGTCCCATCCGCACCACAGGAGTAGATGCTGGAAAACGAGTGAGGCCTGGTGAACCTCACGAAGCGTTTAAAGAATGAAAGATGTGTACTTACAGCTTTGTGATATGGACCTATTAAATGTCAAGCATCAAGCTTAAATTTCAGGCGGCTTTGCAAGTGTGAGTGGGTTGTCGTCCACCGAGAGTGATTTCAGAGTAAAGGTGGTGTCTCACTGCTGCAGACTGGTTGGCGAGTGTTTGCCACAGAGCGAGCATCGAGCCGCGAGGCTGTGTTTTTAAAATCTGAGCCTATTTCTGTGTGCACGGATCGCAAACTGCATTCATGGTCGTGCACATTATTTTGTTGTCCAGGTCTCCTCTTCTTTATCCCCTTGGTAGCACACATTTATAATTTAATCTGCAGTGCAGTTGTTCAGTAA